CATCTTGTGACGCCCCCCACACGCTTCATGGCCCCGTAGGGAGCCCCATCGAAGGCCCACATGCCAGCGCTCGCATGCGCCTACCGCGCCCATTTTGGCACACGAGCCCCACACGCTTCGTGTCCCCATGGGGAGCCCCACCGAAGGCCCACATGCAGGCGCTCGCACGCGCCCACCGCACCCATTTTGGCACAACCCCTCGCACGTTTTGTGGCCCCAGAGGGAGCTCCACCGAAAAACCACGTGCCGGCGCCCGCACGCGCCCATCGCGCCAATATTAGACACCCCTTACTCGCGTCTTGGCCGCATGGGGAGCCCCGCCGAATGCCCCGATGCCAGCGCTCGCATACGCCCACCGCACCCATTTGGGCACACCCATCACACGCTTCGCGGCCCCACAGGGAGCCCCGCCGAAGGCCCACATGCCAGCGCTCGCGCGCGCCCACCGCACCCATTATGGCATAACCCTCACAAGTTGTGCGGCCACGTAGGGAACCCCGCCGAAAGCCCAGATGCCAGCGCCCGCATGCGCCCACCGCTCCCATTTTGGCACACCCCTCACACGCTTCGCGGCCCCATGGGGAAGCTCCACCGAAGGCCCGCATGCCAGCGCCCGCATGCGCCCTCCGCACCCATTTTGGCACGCCCATCACACGCTTGCGAGGCCCACGCGCCAGCGCACGCACGCAACCACCGCGCTAATGTTTTGACCCCCCTGACTCGCGTCTTGGCCCCACGGGAAGCCCCGCCGAAGGCCCCCGTGCCAGCGCTCGCATGCGCCCACCGCACGCATTTTGGCACACCCATCACACGTCCTGCGGCCTCATAGGGAGCCCCACCGAAAGCGCGCACGCCGGCGCTCGCATGCGCCCGCCGCGCCCATCCACCGAAGGCCCGCATGCCAGCGCTCGCATTCGCCCACCGCGCCCATTCTGGAACACCCCTTCACACGCTTCGCGGCCCCAAAGGGAGCTCCACCGAACGCGATGCACACAACGGCGGCACCCACAATTGCACATGCTAATGCGCTTGGCGCCGCGGCCCCGCCAGCAGCGACAGGGCGGAAAAGTCTTGGAACAGCAATCGCGCGCGCACGCGCGCACGCACCGTCGCGAAACTTGCCCAAAGAGGGCCCGAAGCTGAAGGATTCGCTATAGAAAAACGCTAGCAACCGTCTCGAAACTGCACAGCAAAAGCTCACCTCGAAACGCCCATCATTGCCCAATCTGGCAATGCAGATCAGAAAAGACAGACGACGCAGGCGCCAACCAAGCGACGAGCCAAACGCGGCCGCGGCGTTTACACCAGCATCGAATCTACACTAGCCATGTTCAAAGTACGCATGTAGTCAAATAGCTACTAAACAAAGTTTGCAATGAAGTAGAGATGTCTCGTCAGCTTGGGCGGGTGACCACCCCGCCTCGAGGCCCCCCAGTAGCCCAATTCTTGACGCTTCGCGTATCCCCACCAGCCCATCCTACACCAGGCACTCGAACGAAGAGCGCCGATGATCGGCAGCTGTTCTCCTCCCCTCCTCCTCCTTCTCCTCCGCCTTCTCCTCCTCCTCTCCTCCTCCTCCCTCTCCTCCTCCTCCTCCTCCTCCTCCTCCTCCTCCTCCTCCTCCTCCTCCTCCTCCTCCTCCTCCTCCTCCTCCTCCTCCTCCTCCTCCTCCTCCTCCTCCTCCTCCTCCTCCTCCTCCTCTCCTCCTCCTCCTCCTCCTCCTCCTCCTCCTCCTCCTCCTCCGCCTCTTCCTCCTCCATGGTGGCGTATTGGAAGTGTCTTCGAACGTTTTGGTGGGTTCTTGGGCCTTGCGGGCGGGCGGGCGGCGCTCCGCCCGCCCGCGCGCAGAGCCCAAGAGGGGGTCCAAGACGTCTTTTGGAACAATCTTGGAGGAGATCGATCAACGAAGGGGGGCTCCCTAATTACAGTCCCCCCCTCAGGAGCCACGATCCTCGTGAGGGGTGTCGAATTTTAGCCTTCCCAGGAGTCGATCTTGGACGCTCTAACAACCCGCGGCCCCCCCTGTCCAGGTCAGCGGGGAGGGGTAGGAGGAGGGGTAAACCCTCCCCGAAGGGGAAGAAGGAGGGGTGGAAGAGGAAACGCTCTAAACCACCGACGCCCAGAGGGCTGGTGGGATTACCCAAATTGGTAATGCAACTCAACAGTTCACATCGCCCCCGACAGGGCCAAGCATTGACCAGCAGGGAGCTGATGGGGATCAAGACAGATCCAGAATCGGCGCTGGCACTGTTACGAAAGGTAACATGCACATTTCTATGGTTGCATCTTACTTTCTGTTCGCAGTGAGTCGCCCACTCCACTGCTCGCGCAAACATCCCACCCACCCACCCGCAACTTGGTTTGCAAAATCTCTTTAGCTTTACGCAAGTAAAACTGAAGCACGCCGTCATGGTCGCGATGATGGCTGACATCTGGCAGCTGGCCGCCGAGGCGAGCTTGCGCCAGTTGAGCGAGCGCAAAGAGTGGAATGTCGACTCCGCGCGCACTTTGATTCACGATAACACGGAAAAACGACCACTCAACAACACTTCGGGAATAAATCTGTTCGGCCATGACGCGTTCGATGCGGATTTGCGCGCTATTGCTACTGGGGCCCCATCCAGCCCCCCGCGCTCGCCCCCCCCTGCCCCGGGCGGTCGCGGGCGCGGCTGCGCGCGCGGTGGGTGGACGCGTCGGAGACGCAGCCTGCGCCACCGTCGCTCCAGTCGTCTGCCCGCTATTTGACTCTGCCCGGACTGCCCTGGGCGGGCGCCGCAGCTCTCCCTGAGGGGCGGCGCGCTGGTCGGCGGGAAACGCGCGGGCCGCCGTTGTCCGCGCTCGGGCGGGGATCTCCTTGCACCGGCGCCCTTGTCGGACACGACGGCAGGCGCCGCGGGGCAGGCGCCCGCGCAGGCGCCCGTGGAGGGCGCGCGGCGCCGACCCGCAGTGGCCGCGGCGCAGGCGGCGCCGGGCCACAGAGGCCATGGCGGGCAGGAGGGCGCCTGGGACGCTTGGGTTCAGTCCCCCAATAAACCTCCGTTGATCTCCCAGATACAAGATCGCCCTGCCGCGGCCACCGCTGGCAACGCATGCCAGGACGGAGCGAGCCGGGCGCAGCGCGCCGGCAACATCGCCCGAAGTCGACCCGCGAGGGGCCCATCCTGGAGGTTGGCCACCGCGAGCGCGGCCCGACGAGACAAACCAAGGGCACGCCACGTCACGGGGCCGCGCTCGCGGCGCTCGCCCGGGCTGAATCCGTCAGGGTTGCTTCGGGCGCTGCAGGCGACGCAATGGCGGCGCAGGTGGTCGGCAGCCCGACAAACCTCGAGACTGCGCGCGAGTCCAAACCACGTCGGACCCTATCCTGTCACCCGGCGCCGCCAGGTGGAATCGCCAGCCCAGCGCCCATGGCCCCGACGTCGCCGCTGACGGTTCCTAAATGATGTTTTCCATGTGTGGACGCTGAAAGCCTCAACATGCGAGGACTGGCCTCTCGGCGACATGGCGCGCGAAACCGCCGCCAAGCACCCATGACTCGGCAGGCACGGCGACGGGCCGCGGCGACGTCGGGGCCGTTGTTGCCAACGGCGGAGACGCGGTCGTAATCGGCGCGGTCTCTGCAGGCGCAGCGACGGCATGAACTCCAGGGTCGGGCAGGTCGAACAACCCACGGCACCGCAATGTGGCCTTCTGAACTGCTTGCTCTGCCTCCATTCGAGGCTGAAGCATCTATTTCTGTGGCGGTGCATTGGGCGCGTCGACCAGATCATCGCGGTCGGGGGCCGGCCTGAGCCTGCGCACGTTGCGCCTGGCCGCGTGCACATGGACCCCAATGTCCTTTAAGTCCCACTTCATATGCCCGCGCCGCTTTGTCGGTAGTCAGATAGAAAATGCGGGGCGCTTGTCATGGCAGACGGAAGAGCCGCTGCGGCTTCCTTGTCGCATCGCATCTTCCATGGCGGCTGCGCTCGCGATAGGAATCGCGAGGCTTCCAGCAATGGTAAGGGCCGCGCGAAATGGCGCGCGGCCGCGGTCGTCGCCGCTGGAACGCCCGGGTTTCTGGCCGCGGCCGTCGTCGCGGCGCGGGCCCCTGGACTCCCGGGCGGGGAGCGCCCGCGGCCGGGGCGACGCGACCCCCCAGGGCGCCGGGGCGGGCCCCCCTTGCGGCTCCGCCCGTCGGTCGGCCTGGCGGGGGGCGGAAAGGGCAACCCAGCCAGCCGCAATGCCGGGGCACCCGGACGGCGTTCTCGTACCGGGCGCGCAGTGGGCGACGGAGCGCGCGGCGCCCTTGGCGCACTGGCCCCTGGAAGAGGGCGCAGAGCGGCGTGCGGGGGCGGCGGCGCTCGCCCGCGGCCCGGGCAGGAGCCGCTCTCGGCGAACGGGAAAAAGCGGTCGGCCGCCGCGGCGCCACGGGCGGCGGGATGGCCAGGTCGCGTCTGCCACGTCTGCCGCGGAGGCCGCTCTCCAGCGCACGGTAGCGGGCTTGCGCGGCGAGGTGGTCGGGGGCCCACGTGGATGAGTTCACGCGCGGAACCCTCGGTGCACTTGCTTCTCTCGCGCGCGCCACACATGGCCGGACTTGTGACGAGCTTGGCAGAGGACTGGGACCTCTCCTTCCAACCGCGCGACTCCTCTCCACCCGGGCCTTGGCTCGCTTCCGGGGGGTCGCAGGCACGCTCGGGGGTGTTCTTCTCGGCCAGATTGCATTGCGCCGCGTCGTCGCGCATCCCTGGGCGCCGTTGGACCTGAGCGCGGAATGGAGACTCCAAGGTCGGCAGGGGTGGAACCCCCATTCGATAGAGCAGCACGTTGCCCCGATCAAACAGAACCTTCCGGGGGTCGTCGCCCCCCAAGCGAAGGCAGTTGAATAGGTCGAAGTCGTGGATGGTGCCCTCGGCACCGGTGACCTTGTAGGACTTCAACACCACCCAATCGCACCTTCAACGCGCGACCGCGGTCATGCCCCTGATCCCCAACTTCATTGACATATCGGAACAGTTCCGCGCTGAGAGCCTCCGCGATTGCAAGGGCGATTTGCAGTCGAGGCTAGCGAACGCACTGCTTTCGCGCAATTCTTCCGCCGCAACCGCATCGCGCTCGGCGACGCAAAAGAACTGACAAGCAGCGCCCGGGCGACTGGACGCTCTGCGGACCCCATTGTAAAAGCGGTGTTGCCAAGGACCCGAGCGATACGAGGAAGGAGAAAAACGGCGATCTCCTCGGCTTTCCTGTAAGGCCTCGCCAGCACAAGAAAGCCGCCCAGTGCACAATGCGTGCATACGACGTCGGATCCGACGGGGATGGGGAAATGAGCGCGGTAATTTGCCCCGTCGTTGGCAAAATTCTTGGTAGGGGACGGCGCGGATGGCAGACGTGGCGTCGGCCGCGCCGGGGAGGAGGCCCCGCGGCGATGGGCGAGATGTTGGTGCAGATGCCAACGAAAAATGACAGTGCACAGCAGCATCTGCGGTGCCTGATTTCAGTAGGTCGTCGCACCGCGCGGGGCCCTTGTGGAGCTGGTCAGCACAACGCCCAGGGCTACGCACATCGTCCGCGATCTGGGCGGTTTGCTTGTTGTGCGGAAATATTGTCTATCAGTTCTGGAAGTGGGATGCGCGGTCAGCAGGGAGAACCTCCTCTATTACTCCTTCAACGACTCCACGCAGGCGTAAGCCTCAGATGCCCGTGTCTGTTCAACATTCCGTCCGCGAGAGAATCTATCGATCTGAGGCGGCATATGGTCCGCCACCAGCATCAAGGCCTAAGCATCAGACTTCATAGGAGGCGAAAAGGTCGACCGAAGTGGTAACCAGTTGGCCAGTCGGGCGCCACACAACACGCAGTTCAGCGACATACGTTCTGCTCGATCGCCGAAAACGTTGGCAACATGGGGGATGACCGAAGCGTTTCTGAAAACCGATATTGATGGATGTCGTTAGCTTCCAAGCGTAGGGCGGAAACCTGTAAATTCATCGTGTTACATAATTCGCGGACCTGTCCCGATACAACAGCCGCGCAAGGGCCTCCTGTAGAACCGAACACACCGCGCAGTTGGTGGTGGAGTGCGTGGAGGTTGTCGGCACGGTCCTCAAGGAAAATGACTGTCCGAAAGACAGACATAAGCTCGCAACGCATGATGCCCGGATTTGAGCAAGTTCCACCTGGTCTGACTAAAGAAGTTGCTCAACCTTACTGATTGCCAGAGTAATGATGTTCTTCTCGGCAACCACTTGACCATTTGATGAAAGAGCGCAGCGAACCCATGGAGGAGGTCCGATCGGAGAGTTGCTGTCTCGAATGTTACAATGTGCTGACACTCCTGAACGGGATCTCCGATGTGGGCGCGCTGTCTTTGAGTGCATTATGTCACCTGGTCTCGAAGCTCAGCAACGTCGTGGTCTGGCGCGGCTGAGTGAGGAATGGGCGATCCCTGGAAAAGCCGACGCCCTGTCCGATAAGGGCTACGGCTATGGAGGTGCCAGTCACTGCTATCGATCAGGTCAATATCCCTGGACCGTCGAACGTCGTGTTATGTGCCAGATGTCATGCGAGACGGTGCGCGTCTCTGCTCGATTGCACGAGCACAGGTTCCAACAGGAATGATGGGATCGAGATCTCCTCCAGCCTGAGTCGCCTCAAGCGAAGTACGGACAGGGTCAAGAGCTCCAACAGCCTGGATTATCCCAGGCGGGAAGCCGAAACAAGGGTACGACGCAGAAAGCGTGTGAGTTCCAGCGGGAGTCGCCCCCAACAGATGGAGTGCGAATGAACCGAAACCGGGCGTATCCATTCGATCATCAGTCTGGGGATCAAGATCTCCAGGGAAGATCGCATGGCCGCCAACTTCCATCATTGCGGCGAGGTGCTGCTCCAGGAATCGTACCGTGAGGGAGGTCGGTTCATCAGATGGTTGAGTATCGACTAACGGATGAGGCTCAGACATCTGGGAGAGCACACACGAGTGCGATATTTAAAGAAGTGGGTAGCCTGTGAATGGAAGGGAAGGACCAGAGAGCCAACCTTATCAGTAACCCGTAGGTACGAAACGACAGATGTTCCTCCTCTCGGAGCGAAAGAGTACTAGCATCAATGTCGTCAACATCTTGCGAGCAGAAGGGGCAACAGCAAAAGTGAGGGTAGCCCTGAAAAGTCTTCAGACCACCCCCCACGCGAACTAATATTTCGGCGGCCTTATTGAAGAACTGGGGTCCCACCAATGGGGGGTTACTAGTTGTTTTTTTTCCGCGGCACCCGCCACACAACAAGGACGACGACAGCTACGACTACGAGGAGGAGGAGGAGGAGAAGGTGGAGGAGGAGGAGGGAGGAGGAGGTTTTAGGACCAGTCCTATTCACCATTCACCGCCGAAAGGAAAAGGGGGCGGGGACCAAAACTAAAGACCTCTGGCGGTTAGAAACAAGAGGCGGCACACACACACACACACACACCTTCACACATACACACTTTTTCACGTCGGCGGCTGAACAAAGTGACTGCGCCAGCGGAAGAGCACTGGCAGGGCAAACAACCACGAATTGAGCCGCAATGCGCGGGGGGGAGACACACACACACACACATTACCAGCCTGGAACATACCCCTATCCCTATGCTGGGCACCTCCTCATCACGATGCCAATCTTAGGGATCCCCCTAATTTTTTGAGGGCGCATCCCTAGGATTGTCCTCGCCCTTTGGCGTACCAATCTTGGGGATGGGGATACGTTCGAGGCCGGTAAACACACACACACACACACACACATTGGGCTCCTGATCGGCCGACGCCCCCCAGACGGGGGAGGGGGGCTCCACCTCTTCGAGGAGGAGGAGGAGGATGAGGAGGAGGATCAGTGTAAACCCAAGAGTCATCAACGATGTTGGACAGAACCTTCCCTCCAAGCTCCACTTCAATCTGCGGGGCGGGTCTCCTCCTCCGGGTCCAGCCACGCCGTGCCGTCCTCCACCCCGGGGCGGAAGGGGAGCACCACCGCGAGCACCAGGCGCCCCGCCACGGGCGTCAGCAGGCCGACGAGCTGCGGCGCGGGGGCGGGCGAGGATAGGGGGCCACATGCGAGCCCTACCCCTACCCCCCACGATTTCTGAGGGGGAGGGTGGGGTTCACTTCACTCGGGAGCTCCCGAACGAAGAGAACCCCACCCTCCCCCTCAGAAACCGTGGGGGGTAGGGGTAGGGCTCGCATGTGGCCCCCGAGAGGGCGGAGGCGTGCGGCCGAGGCATGGCCACGAGAGCGCGGGTCAAGAACACGAAGACGAGGCCAGGGCGAGGACAACATTGGGCGAGGGTGCATCGAGAGCCTCTGAGATCCGGGGGCTCTGGAGGATAGTCTCGGGCGCCACTACCCTCATGGAGCGTGCCGGAACGCTTCGAGGGCGTGCCGGGACGCTCTGGAACGGAGCCAATCTCGTCCTAGCCTCGCCCGAGGGTGGGCGAGGACGGAGGCGCGCGGCCGAAGCATGGCCGCAAGAGCGTGGGTCAAGAGCGTGGCACCCTGAGGCTACGCACGGCGCCCAGAACGGAGAGCACACTCCGCGCAGGGCCCCAGCGCGACGATCGCCAGGGCACCCCCCCTCCAGAGCTGGGGCTGCTCTCGACTGGGCAACGTGCAACCGATCCCTATCCCCATGGGCGTCGCGTGTGCCCCACGGGCCGATTTACCCTCCTAGATGGGGATATAGGCTGCTCCCTTCGGTTTTCGAGAGGCATATCGGATTAGGGATCGGGACGGGGCTGGGGATGGGTGCCAGCTCTGAAGTGAGATGCGCCGAGACGAGCGCCTAGAGCTGGACCTGGGCCCCCCTGCGGGGCGGCGCTCCCTGGGCCCCGGCCCCGGGCCTAGCCTCGGCCAGGCCCCAGGTGTCCCGTGCCACTCTCGCGCGGCACCCACGAAGAGGGAGGGCGGAGAGTGGAGGAGGGAGGATCGCTGACCAGGCCTCCAGATTTGCGAGCGGGCCGCCATCAGGTGGCCCTCGCTCCCAGACTCAGAAATGGCGCCCTGGAATGGGGCAGCTCGTTCAAGGGGCGAGGAGCTGGAACGTCCCAGTGTGGGTGGGCAACTCGCTTATGTATCCAGTGGTACCCCGATTGGTCACCAGCAGCGCGTTGGGTACGACAGGCCATACACCACCACCAAACTACCCCACCTCGCCAGCCGGAGGACGATGACGAATAGCAGCAGCAGCAGCAGCAGCAGCAGCAGCAGCAGCAGCAGTAGCAGCAGCAGCAAGAACTGATGGAAGGAGTGGGAGAAGCAGGAGGGCAAGGGGAAGGCAGAGGAGGGGAAAAGAGGGGGCGCGACAATGATGAAAAAGGACTCGGATGGAGAAAGGTGGCCCGCGCTGGGGCGAGAGCGCCATTCTGAACAATGGGAGCACATCGCCGATCGGAAAATGAGGCCCACGCTGAAGCGGAAACACCATTCAACCATTTTTTAGTGATCCACATGTTGGCGGACTGCCATGGATGCAAAAATTGTGGCGCCAGCAGAAACTCTGTCGATCTCTGCTTTGCCTATTGAAAGGGGGTCCTCGAATTTCCTTCCGGCGCCCACATTTACGGCACGCAGGTCCGCAGGAGGAAAGGGAGGAGGAAGGAGGAAGGAAACCCAGCACCACACAGTCTGCGCCCGCGCCGTCACGGGCCAGTGAACGCGCCTTAGACTTCTCAGCTCCACGCTGGGTCCGGCGCTTCGAAAGTTTTTGGGTTTGAACCTGCAGCCAGTGCCCCATGGAAGCGAATGTGGTTCGTGGTGCGGTACACTCCGTAGATTGCCAGTGCCAGTCTGGCGACGTCCTCGTCAGGGCAGCGCTCGTCCGAGAAAAATAACATAAGCATTGCGGCCTGCCGGTCCACTCCCAGGCCGGCAGGCCTGAAGGCTTTCAGTGAACCCCAGACCAGTGGGAGAACGGAATAATGTTCCACGCTGTCGCACCCATCCTGGCAACCCAGCAGGCAACGTGAGGTCGAGACCACCCCTGCTGACGTAGTCACAACATGTCACGTCCTGCGGACGGTCACCCATCCGTTGTAGACCGTACGCAAGCATGCGGACGCAACCCTCGGCGGACACCACGAGCGCACGATGTGGAATGCCCGCGAAGCCCGGCCAGCGCCAGCACGTCGACAGGGAGCAGAAAGGCCCACCTGTGAAGTTTGTGCGGGAGACGACGCTCGGGCACCGGGAAGAGGGCCCCCTTGAGCAACTCACTGGCCATTGCTTGAAGTTCCGAGCCTTTCCCCTGCGCTGCCCTATCTGTCAGCGCACGCATTTTGCGGCGTCACTCCGGAGCATACAGCCACGCGTTCAGACCGAGCCACACGCGCGAAGTAAGAGTTACAGTGCCACGTGCCAAACGGCCCAGTAAGATATCTGTCATCGAGTTGATTTAATTCTTGGCACCGTTCCCAGCAGTCCGGCGCCACCTGCTCTATCACGCGCAGCTTCGCCGCCAAGGCCACGAAATGCATAATTGTGAATGAGTACTTGAATCCGAAGGTTTGCTTCAAGCTGCATAGGTCCTCGGGCAAAATCCACAAGCCAGGGCCGGGGACCAGGCGCCGCAATGCCCACGGGATGAGCTCCTCCAGGTTGGTCGGGACGTCCTCCAACTGCATGACAAAAGACAACACGGAGCATATCAAGGTATTGAACGCAAGCATCGTCATGAAAAGGCCGAGGTAGCAAGGGGCCCAACACTGCACTCTGCTCACGAAAATTCGACCGGTTTCTCCCAAGTCTGGTCGCCGGCACCAGGTCCAATCCAAAAACCTAACTGTTTGCTGGCAGAGCTCACAACGATGTCTCGCCAAGCGGGCACCGCTTCCCAAAACAGCGCTCTGACACTGGAATCAGAGACGAACTTCCACAGCCGGATGAACACTGTTTTCTTGGTGTTCAGCGCGAGGCAGGAAATCGCCTCAAATTCTGCGAATAGCTCGGCCATGACGGGCATCGAGATGACAGAATCACGAACTGCTGCCGCAGTGTCGTCGGCAAATGCTCTCGCCACTTCATGCCCCGAGAAATGCTGCGCCAATCCACGCAATAAAGTGCCAGCACAAATAGCGAAAAGTAGCGGTGAAAACGGGCATCCCTGTCGAACTCGGCTTCTGGCGGTGATGCTGTCGAAGTCCTGCGACTGTACTTTGATCTAGTGTTTGTTGTTTTAACAGTTCAATAATTCAACACCGTTCATACACCATTCTAACAATTGATCCAGTGTTTGATCGATGAGAAGCAACATTCAACAATCATATTGAAATAGCACACAAGAAAAAACAACTCGGCACAATCCTGTAGAAAACAAGACGCAGAGGGGGGCCAGGGATCTCCAGAACAGGGTCAAGACAGAAAGGAGAGTAGTATTCATAGTGCATTTGTAGAGGAAGGAGGACGGGGGAGGGGGGACGGGGGGGGGAGCCGCGGGCAAGAAAAGGGACTCCAGGGACAAGGGAGCATCTGGAGCACAGAATAATTGCCCCAACGCTCGGGCGATCGTCTTGAACAACTGAGTTGAAGATCGCCAGAAGAAGTGCGCAAGTCTTCTGCGCCCAAGAGCAGCAGCGAGGAAGTTCACAGGCGACACGAGCTCGAGAACATCGGGCCGACGCAGCTGCAGACAAGCTCCAAACACGCCTGATGCCACGGCGCATCCGAATGCCGCGCGCGCCGTTGACGACGACGACGACGACGACGACGACGACGACGGCCGTCGGCCACGACAAATCATCCTGGCGCAGCAGCGTGCGCGGCCGGCTCGCCCTGTCGAGCACGTTCAACAGCGCCACGAGGTCGAAGGTGGCCCCGCCAGCAGCGTGCTCGCCCAGCGCCTTTGGTGAGAGGCTGCCAGGAGGTGGTCCGGGGTGCCACCAACGCTTCGAGCCGTCTTGGAGCCCACGGGGCCCTCCAAGCCTCGTAAGGGGTGCTCTGGAGGCCGCCTGGGCGCCTCGGCGCCAAGAAGAGGTCACGTCGTCCTTCCTCCTCTGCCTCGTCGTCCTCACCTTGTCCCCCTCCTTCTGGCGCGACCACCCTTCCCCCTCGCCCTCGTCGTCGCCTCCTCTGACATTCCTCGCCACCTCCTGCTCCCATCCCTCCCTCGCGCGGGAGAAAGAAGAGGAGGAGGAGGAAGAGGACCAGCGTATACCAAAGACGCGTCGACGATGTTGCAATGAACCCTCAGTCCAAGTTCCCTCTTCACAGGTCCCTACAAGAATCCCGCCAGCCCTCTGGGCGTAGATAATTCAACGAGTTCATTCATTCCTCTTCCAAAACCCAGATTCCCGTTGGGAAGGGGTACCCTCCCCTACCCCACCCAAGGGTCTGGACGGGGGGGGGGACGGAGGGCGTAGAGCGCCCAAGATGGCTCCAAGAGGGCCTCCGATACTCCAAGATGGCCGCCGCGATGCTCAAGATAGCCGAAGGTGGCTCAAGATGGTTTGCAACTATCGCTCCAAGATGGTTCCAAGTGCTCAAGGAGCCCCCTCATGACCCCCAAAGAGGCCCAAGCTGTTCAAAAACCAAAGGTACAGCATTGGCGTGCGCCTTCTCGCCGTGTCGTTTCCGATGTGTTCTGGGGGCCTCGTAATTGCCGCAGGATGGGCCAAGAGAGCCCCAAGAGGGGCCCAAGAGGCCCCCACCAACGGCTCCAAGATCGGCCCAAGAGCGCCCCAACAGCGCCCCAAGAGGCGAGTTTGATGGCCCCAGGGGGGAGGCGACTCGAGGATCCCCTCATCATTTGATCGAACGTCCTGGGCCCCCACAAGAGCCCCAAGACGGCCCTGAGAGCGCCCCGAGAGCGTCCCGCGAGGATCCCAAGAGGCGGTGTGCCGCCTCCTCATCGACTCAGCCTGAACGCGAACAAGGTTGTCCGCGCCACCTGCCACTTACGCCACCGCATGGCCACAGCCAGAGGCGGGTGGCGCCACCAGAACAGTGCCCAGAAAGGTAAGGCATGGCCAGCACACAGCAGGCTGGCAGATATGGAAGCCGTGCGGGGCATGGCGCAGCGCGGCCCTAGAGCGGCTGCACCACTCCCGCACGGATCAAGGAAGCAGTGCGCAGCGGATCCTCTAAATACCGCCACACGCGATTGACCTGAAAACGTGCGGGAGCACGCGTGAGGCCCGCGAGGACACGAGCACCCCACGTGCCTGATGCAGGGGGGCCTCGACAGCCCTGCGACAGGTTCGCAGAAATCTTGACCCCACCCAGCCCACACACCACGCACACAGTACACCACAGCCTCCGCCCCCCGTCCCCTATGGGTGTGCCGCCTCCTCCTCCTCTTCCTCCTCATCCTCCTCCTCCTCCTCCTCCTTATCGTCCTCCTCCTCCTCCTTCTCCTCCTTATCGTCCGCCTCCTCCTCCTTCTCGTCCTCATCCTCCTCCTCCTCCTCCTCCTCCTCCTCCTCCTCCTCCTCCTCCGTCCTCTTCCACATCAATAAATATTCAATGTCGCACCCCGAAACCAGTCGGAGGGCGGCCCAGCCGTTTCGTATAAGACTTGTTGCCCATCTATGAACCTGAAGCTGAAAAGCTGGCCAAAGCTTCACAGATGGAAGGCGGGCCGCTTCTAATATGTCGCTCTCGACTTAGCGCCGCGCACATTCGTCTGAAAAATGCAAGAGCTTAACAGAATGAAGGTGGGTCGTTGTTTTTTTTTATGTGGCTCTCACCTGAGCACTGCGCACATTCTTAAGAAAATTGCACGAGGTTCACCATTGAGGGCGGGTCGCTTTCAAATGTGGCTGCCACAGCACCGCGCACATTAATTCGTTTTACGCTTGCCAGAGCTTCACAGACTGAAGGTGGTTCCTTGACAAAATGTGGCTCTCGCCTTAACGCCGCGCACATGTGTTCTAAACTTTCGTTGGAGCTTCACGGAATGCGGGTGGCTCTTTTTCAAAATGTGGCTCTCGTTTTTGCGCCGCGCACACTCGTCTAAAACATGCGCCAGAGTTTCACCGGTTACCAAGGTCAGCATACCAAACATTGCGCTTTGGAACGATTCTGACTTGTCTGGGCACAAGATTCACATTGATCGTGGTGCTGCATTCCCAGAAACGGTTCTCGGGGCACGATTCAGAATCGTCAAGACGCTACAGTCAGATTGATGTTGGGCGCTGGAGTCCAGAATGATGTTTTGGCACGTCTCTGGATCTTCAAACGGTTGCCCCGCAACGGAGCACTTCCCTAAGTGGATGCGAATCCTTGTAGAGGCCACCGAAGAGGGAGCTTGGAGGGAGCGATTATTCGCACATCGTTGGTGAGCCTTGGGTTTACACTGGTCCTCCTCTTCCTCCTCCACTTCGTCCTCCTCCTCGTTCCTCCTCCTCGTTCTTCTCCTCCTCCTCCTCCTCCTCTTCCTCCTCCTCCTCCTCCTCCTCCTTCTCCTCCACCTCCTCCTCCTCCTCCTCCTCCTGCTCCTCCTCCTCCTCCTCCTCGAGTTTCGCCTGGTCGGCTGCTCCGTTGTCTGCTCGGTTGCGGACGTCGCGGACATCGCCGCCTTGGTTGGCCATGTCGACGCTGGAGCCGACAGGCGACAGGTCCAGGTTCAAAGCGGTGCTCGCCCATTGGAAACACGGGGACAAGCATCCACGGAAGCCGCTGCACACGGCGAGCAGAGCTCCCTGAAGAGTCTTCTTCGAAGGTACACGGAGCAGGGCCATGGGCGACTTCGCGCGGCAGGCCCTTCGCTGCAGAAGATCACCAGGAAGTTCGGCGCGCCGCTCTGGCTGGAATTCCAGGGGGCGTTTTCGAGCTCGACATCACGGTTACGTTCTTCAGTTTGTTGGCTGTGACCTTGAAGCGGCACGAGCAAATCTGCGTCGAGACAGAGTTCCCACTTCTATGCGACATCGTCAGCAACTGGGAAGGTTGGGCGGGTTTTGTATCTGGATACTTCGACGTCGGGATGGGCGTCGCCAAGAAGCTGCTCATCTCGGCGACCAGCCCCTACGGGCGGCAGTCGCCAGATCCAAAGGGGCGGCCTGATTGGCTTCCGCATTTGGATTGTTTGCAAGCAAAAGTATCGAATCCCTCTCGATTTCTCCTCGAGCACGACACCCTGCATCAGGAAGTCGCGAAAGCAAGGCCTGTGTGCACCTCGCTCCAAATTTTCCCGCGCGAGCTGGAGTGCCGGGCTCTGACGAATACGAAGCAAATCTTAGTTGAAGCGGGGGCCGCGCCAATCTATCTGGTCTTCGACGGCATCTACTTCAGGGAAACGGGGCTAGACGTGCACGACGAGAGTTTCATCAGACTTGTGTCTGCAGTCGAAGCCGAGCACCATTTGAAAGATCTAAGACGCGCGGCGATACCCTGGAGGAGTTCCGTTCCCAGGCCTGAAGAAGGGGCCCGAGGTCAAAGTGGCGCCCCCCCCACGCCACCGTACCACAACGATTTCTCTTCTCTCCTGGCGGCAGTTTGCGAGAAGTCGCAGCAGAAGCTTCAGGTTGTCCGCGGAACAAATACGCGCGCTGTGAGCGCGCGCGGCCAGATGGACTTGGTTGCAGGGGAACCAAGCCAGTCAGACTTCGCCTGTGGACCATGGTCTTATCGACAGTTGCAAAAGATGTATCCTTCCCTGGCGTTCCAAGAGGTGCAGCTGAGCGACGTGATCTGCGCTGACCCCGCGCACTTCTTCCCGCTGCACATTGGGGCGCCTGGAACTCGCGGCCACGCGCCTGGTCTTCGCGCCCACCGGGACTCGCAGCAGATACTTTTTCGACTCGCGCGAAGACGTGGCGATGCAGATCGGCCCACTTGGACGACGGTTTAAGACATGATCGCTGGCCGTGCGAAGACGGACCTGTCGACGCCAGCGTCGAGACAGACGTCTTGATTTGATTGATGGCTCCTCTCGGCCGCGCGCGAAGCAGCCCGCTGCCTTTCATTTTTGCATGCCCAAGCGCCGGAAAGCACGCATGGTCAGGAAGGTTGCGAAAAAGCCAGCCGCAAAGAAGACCGCACCGTACGTGCAATACGTGCAACACGGGAAAAAAGACTCGCAAATGTCGTGGTGACCGCATCGCGATCCAATGCACCCTGAAGGCCGTGTACACGGCTTCTCCCATGCAGCTCGTGAAGAAGCTCGGCACGACTGGGCATCTTCAAGATCAGCACGGCGAGGTCTGCCCATGGCGTGCGGGCGGGCACCTGGGCCCCTTGAAAAAAAAAACGTTCCCCGCAGAGGCCCAGTCTATCGTTGCGGAAAGCAGAAGTGCCAGAAGTTCCTGCTTCCTCACCATAACCACCCTGTGTCTGCACAAACCAAGCGCCACTAGATCACGGGGAGTAGCCACATGCTCATGGAGCCCACGTGCGCCCGCCTCGACGGCACCAGGATGCGATGCGTCCAGCTGATGGGAGAGGAAGATTAAGTTTGGCGCCGCCGACGAGTGGCCAGGCGTGGAGGCGGACGAGGTGGACTTGGGTCAAGACGACGACGTGGCAGTTGCTGACGAGGACAGGCTAGCGAGGTGGGAGCAATGGGGGAGGACTGATCGAACGTGGGGGGCCAGAGACTGCGGCACTAACCCGTCTCGACCCATGGCAAGACTCAAAGGCGCGCGCCCGGACCTGGTCCAGTTCGCAAGCGCGATTGGAAACCCATCGCTCAGCGGCACCTCGCCAGACGACAGGCGGCGCTGCCCACTGACGGGGCGCGCGCTTATAAGATGAAGGTACCGGGCGTCCTTCACGACAACGTCGCCCACATGAAAAAGGAAGTCGTGCGGCAGGGGAAAGCGATCTGGCTCAAGCCGACATGTTCCAAAGTGGTGGACCGCGAGTTCCCGAGTGGTTATGAGCTGCGCACCACGTGTGGAACGCAGAATATTGATCGCTTCTGGGCTAATTTGCAGAAACACCTCCAGTCTCGCACGCGCAGGGTCGGCACGCTCGCCACCAGACGCCGCATTCGGTCGGCGCAGTGGACTTTCTGGAATAAAGGGCAGAAATTATGGTCGCGTACTGGCGACATGCTGAAAACGCTTTATTGTGCCTGAGAGCCCGCCCTATTCTGTTTTGGAATGCTCCGCGTGAAAGCGATGTCCGTTTAGCGCTCAAAAGGGTAACGGAAATTCGCTGCATTGCAGTATTGATGTCTTTTGCCACCTTGCCACTTGCAATTCGATTGCTGATGCCTTGACAAATGCATCTGTCAAGGACAACGCGCTGCTCGATACTGAAGCGCTGCAAGTATGCTGATCGCATGAAGGAAAGGAAAAAAACAGGAAAGGTAGAACACAGAGGGGGAGCGAGCGTATGTATGTATGTGTATATATATACACATAAATATCTACATATACATGTAGGCACGACGGCCGAGCGCACGGACCTGTTCGAGCTCCCCCTCCCACGACCCGAACGCCAGAAACGCCTCACCCCGCCTGATATGGGGCGAGGCAGCATGCGGGCCCTGCTAATGCTGAGATCGATGGAGGTCCCCATAGGCGACGACACGCGTGAAATGTGTGCCAGAATGTGGCGGGTCACCAAGCGGACGCAGCCACTGGGGCCTTCGGTGGGGCCCTCTTATAGGGACACGAAACACGTGAGGGATGTGCCAAAAAAGGAAGCGGTGCACCATGCGGACGTAGCCACTGGGGCCTTCGGTGGAGCTTCCTGTGGGGTCACGAAGCGTGCGATGGGTGTGCCGAAATGAAGTGGGTCATCATGCGGACGCATCTACTTGGGCCTTCGGTGCAGCTTCGAATGGGGCCACGAAGCGCGTGACAGGTGTGCCGAAATGGGGCGGGTCACCATGCGGACGCAGCCACTGGGACCTTCGGCGGAACACAATACGGGGCCTACGAAACGTGTGTGAGGGGTGTACCGACATGGGGCGGGTCACTACGCGGACGCAGCCACTGTGGCCTGTGGCGGAACTCTCTCAAAGGCCACGGAACGTGTGACGGGTGTGCCGGAATAGGACGGGTCAATATGCGGACGCGGCCACAGGAGCCTTCGGAGGAGCTCCGTATGGGGCCACGAAGCGCGCGAGGGGTGTGCTAAAAAGGGGCGAGTCCGGATGCGGACGCAGCCACCAGGGCCTCCGGGGAGACTCAATATGGGGCCTACGGGGCCACGAAATGTGTCATGAGTGTCGAAATGGGACGGCGGGTCACCATACGGACGCAGCTATTAGAGCCTTCGGTGGAGCTCCCTGTGGGGCCACGAAACGTGTGACGGGTGCCGAAACGGTGGTGAGGATGATGATGGTGGTGGTATAGGTAGTAGAGATGATGATGGTGACGGTGATGGTGACGACGACGATGGTGGCGATGCCTACGATGAAGATGATGCTGACAACAAGGATAAAAAGGAGCAGGAGAGAAGGAGGAGGAGGCGGAGGAGGAGAGGAGGAGAGTAGGAGGAGAGGAGGAGAAGAGGATGAGGAGACGCGTGGCGCTGCTGATTCAAAACGAGGACCCAACACACGGGAGGGTCAAGAAAAAAGCTCCGTCCGTGCAACCCTTGGAAACTTCAAGCGGCCGTGAGCACAGGGAGGAGGCGGAGGAGGACGAGGGAGGGAGGGAGGGAGGGCGAAAAAGAGGAGGGAGGGAGGGAGGGAGGGCGAAAAAGAGGAGGGTGGATGGAGGACGCAGGAGGGGAGGAGGCGGAGCAGGAGGAGGCGGAGGGCTGGAGCACAGGAGGAGGCGAAGGAGGGCGACGGGGAGGAGGGAAGGAGGGAGGGACGGGGGGGGGAGGAGAAGAGGAGGGAGGAGGGGAGGAAAAGAGGAGGGAGGAGGGAAGGAGGGAGAAGAGGGAGGGGGGAAGGAGGGAAGGAGGGGGGGGGGGGGAAGAGGAGGGAAGGAGGGAGGGACGGGGGGAGGACAAGAGGAGGGAGGAGGGCAGGACGGAGAGAGGGAGCAAAAGCTGCATGTGTCCGCGATCGGGGTAGCCTCCCGGGTGGCCTCGCCTGTCCGGATAGCGCAGAAGCCCCGCTCCGCGAGGCGCTCTACCATACCCGCTGGCCCCCCGCATGGAGGGAGGAGGACGGGGACAACGACGAGAACGGCGAGTACGGTGACGAGGGCGACGCCTGCTTCGGCGCAAGGGAGCCGAAGTGTGCGTACGCCCACTCACCGGGTGGGACCCGAGTTTGCCAGCCTGCTCATGCTACTCCTTAACCATCCTCCGCCTATTCACTCTTCCTTCTCCTCCTCCTCCTCCTCCTCCTCCTCCTCCTCCTCCTCCTCCTCCTTCATCCTCATCCATCCTCCTCCTCCTCCTCCTCCTCCTCCTCAGTCCTCATCCTCTGTGGCGTCCTACTCCTTATCCTGCTCTTCCTGCTCAAACCTCCTCCTCCTCCTCCTCCTCCTCCTCCTCCTCCTCCTCCTCCTCCTCCTGACGGCCTCCGCATTTCCTGGGTGGAGTCGCACCAGGCAGAGCTCGCTGTGTCCGACAGGTTGGACAAGATCGGCAATGAATGGGCGGGCATCGCAGCAAAAAGAGGGCTCCGTGGTCATGAGATCCCAGAGGCGGCGATCGAGCAGCACGCGTCCTGGCAGCAGGAGGTCCGCCAGGTCACGGCGCGGATCGGCAACGCGCAGGCGCAGCGCGGCGAGGCCGCCTCCGACAGGGTCGACACCATCGGCCGCAAGACGAGGAGCTCGAAGCTCGCTGGTCGACCGCCAGCGGTGATGGCAAAACAAACTCAACCCTGACATTGCGCTCGGCGCCGCTCCACACGTCCCCGCCCGCTCTCAGAGTGGGCGGGAGTGCGCTCACTGTCCTGGGTTCGCCAGGCCCAGGGCGGGGAAGAGACGCACGTGTGCCCAGCCGTGCAGCGTGCAGCCGCGAGGAGGTGGCCCAGGACCTGGTGGGGAACTACCCCTCGCTTCGGACTCGAAGGTCGAGGAGGGTCGAGCCGTACGCAGGAGGCCCTTCGGTGAGCAGCCTCCCCAGGGCCCTGCTCCCCCGTCCTTGGCTTCGCTTGGACCTCTCTTCTGGCCTCCCCCTCCCCAGCGATGCGACTCG